TATATAATAGGTCCCGTCTGAACTTCGTATTTTTTACGCGGAGCGACTGCCATCAGAACTCCACAAGTGCTAGGCGATGTCGAAAGACTATTCAACTTTTTAGAGCTCTAACTACCCGTAACGATTGCCACAGATGTTCCTATGGCAACCGGGACTCAGAGGACTCTCCGAGGCACGGAGGGGTCTCAATGGCAACCCAACCATAGACTGACCTGGCTAGGATTGCTTAACTTTGCAATGTGTTAACCTAATCGGTTACCAATTAGCCACGAGTTGTTATAATTTTTGCGGATTATACGTTAATGTCGTAAGTTATTTTACACATCGTCTATCGGCTTTTATTACCGCGAATGTCAGATTAGGGTACTATTTTATAGTATGGGGTGCAAAGGAACAAACTGATGGTAACCTATGTAAACCGTGGAAGAGCCATGCTTCAGCACATTATGGACTAGGCTCGACCGGAGTAATACTACGGCCTCACAGTAAACCAATGTCAAACAATTCCTTCATTGCTTTCACCGAGTGAGAGTGGGGGGGGGGAGACTCAAAGAGCGGGTTGCAGGTGTCATGTGCAGCGGTGGTCACCATCACGGGACCTGTCTGCTCCTTCGTTTGCCCCTATTCCATAAAAAGTAACTACCGCCGCACATTAAAACTTGTTTTCCAAGAGTCACAAGTAACTTCGTCCTTTTAAAACACTGTCGCTACCAAAAACCCGACAACGTGCTTTTATTAAAAAAAACGCTATGAACACACAGTGAGTTGGTAACATGGGAAACCATAACCCAGTCATGTTTGTAAGTAATCCCTTCCTCCTATCCTTGCCCGACTCGGAGTTCACTTCACCGTTCTGCGCCCGTACGCTTAGATAATTATTTTTAAAAGTACCTACATAATGACGCATATATTTTGTACTGTATGTGTTTACTGTATAGTGTTAGTTTTTATCAACTTCGCTTGATGTAGACTCTGTTGCATTTTTACAAACCAATGTGGTGTTTAAATGCACTATTAAATTCAATAATTGTAAATTGATTTGTAAAATAAAACAAGTCTACATAATTAAAAAAATAAAAACCTGAGCTAATTAAAATATGATCATAATATACCATTTTAAAATCCTCATTATGAGCCCTTTAATTTGATACCCATATTGCAGTATCCAAATTTATAATTTTTTAAACCATAGCTCACAGTTTCATGTTGGTTTTTCTTTCTCATCACCTATCTGAGAACACTTAGGTTACCAAAACGAATTTAAACAATACCTTAATTAAATAAATCCGTGCAGCGGTCCGGAAGATATGAGGTAATAAAGAATATTACATGCATGCAAGATACGCGAGAAAAACACAACCCTTTCAAGGCAGTCGGGTAAAAAAAAAACAAAATAAAATTATCTATGCGCTGAGGATTTGAAATTCAAAACCATAAAGTATTTTTTTTATAAATGGAACAGACACCAGTGTACTGTGTCAAACTGACAATGATCGATGGCAGTGATGATAGCGAAATTAACAAAGACGGGGGGCGCGTCTATATTTAGTAGTTTCATAACGTCTTAGCATACCAGTAGGTATAGTCTAATGTAATGAGGTCATAAGTGAATTGAGACAGCAGATTATATATATACGTATATTAGCTGACCCTGCAAACGTTGTTTTGCTATTTACATTATTTACATTTTTTGTTTTGAATTTCTTAAAATCCGTTCTTAGCTGACCTCTACTCGGTGAAAAGAATATTCCTACCAAATTTCAAGTCTTTAGCTCTAATGGTTCCAGAGATATCGTGATGAGTACTATATACGTGGAAATCTCTTATATAATATATAGATTAACACTTAAAGATTTTTTTAAAGGTAACTGCCGCATTAGGAATATATCATGTGTCGCGGGGGACTTTACAAACATACATGGTAACGGAAACAAAGAACACCCAGACTTAGAACAACAATTTGTGAATCACACAAACTGTCGTTCCAGGTGGGGATCGGACCCACAACACCCAGATTAGTAGTGAGCAGCGTAGCGACCGCTTAAACCACAACGCCATCCGTGTAGTATTCTGTGTGATTTGCTCCCTTAGTCCGGTTCGAAACCCAAGGCATAAATAGGGGTGGCGACATTCCGTATTCTCAATCCGTTACCACACTGCCAAAGAGATTCAAAATGGTCGAAATTCGAATGACAGATGATCTCCGATGATAATAAAAGTTACGATTGGATGGCTCAAGCTTTACGGCAATAGCCAATCTTATGCAACTGTCATCATCATATTGCTTATCATTTGCCAACCCATCCGTAGGTATAACTTAAGTATTATCCCTTTCTACCATGCCTTCCCTTGTTCTACTTTCCTTTCATTATACTTACAATTTTATATATAAAATAAACCCTAAAGTTCCATTTTTTTTTAAACTACTGAGAAAAAACAAGAATTCTTTCATTTACTTAAACTTTAACCGTAGAATATCAAATTTATAACATACTTAATCGTTTCCGCTGTTGAAAGAGATAACAAATTATAATAAGCATTCTTAACCACGCTATTTATTTTATTATAAAGAATATTTTATTGATAACATAAATGCAAGTTACACAAAACACATGTTCATTATTAAAACGATATTGATAAAAGATGAGACATCATAATTGGTTATACATGACTTACGATATAATACCCTTAAATAGTTGAAGTTTGGAGTCAAAAAGTTATATAATAGAAATAGCTCGTTACATGTATAATGTAAAATATTTAAATGAAATACATATACTTATTATACACTTACATCTTTACCCTAAAAGTCGAAAATTTGTAAGACATAATCACACTCCTTCCACTCCTGTAAATTGAAAACAGAAATCCGCAAAAATATCTCATATCACATTTGAAAATTCCCAGGAATAGATAAATCAGCTTATAACCGTGACCAGTGCAACATGGTCTGACGATTTCGTCAGACAATTCAAACTTAGGTATGTAAAACCGTATTGCCGTACTAATGTTTATGTGCCATAGAACATAAAATGTTGAGTAACCTCAAGTATATTGGACGAATAAGAAATAAACTTCCCTCTTTAGTATGAAGTAGATAAAAGAGATGAAGGACCAACAAAATATCAGAGAGGATAACGTGGACTATTTATATTTTATATTCTAAATGAGTTATTTGTAAAAAGACGCGAACGAAATCATTATATTAATACATTGAAAATAATTCATGTGCAGGTTTTACATGTAAGTTTTACACTAGACCTTGATAGCGGCTTCACTCACATTAGTATATATTATTTCTATCAATACAATAAAATACTAGATACACGATTCCCTTTTCTGCACGCCAGACAACGTAAACGCAGAAGTTAACGATTATCGATTCAGTATTTATTGCGTGAGAGCGTTTTTACAAACAAAAAAAGCTCACATTACATTTACAATATTAGTTAGAATTGCAACTCACGCGCAGCACACCTAAATGGAATACGAATGAGCCCTAACAGTGAACCCGGGAATGCATTATGCAAGCTGTACACGTAGCCATCGGACAGTAGGGTCCGATTCCCATAAGCGAATAAACTGCAGTGAGGAATTACAATTTGACTTTTGAAAAGCATTTTAATGCCCCTTTTACGATATAGGATGGGGTGGGTGGCTATAGCCACCCAAATACATCTGAATTAAAAGAGCCACAGGTGCGTTGCCACTAGAGGATTCGATCCCGGTCGATTTTTATAATCCCGGGATTTCGGGATTATCTACAGTTAATCTCGGGATCCCGGGATAGTCCCGGGATTGTATTGGCAATGGAAAGTGGTAACAAAAAGAAAGAAAACATATCAAAATATTTTTTTTGTTTATCATTTAGTTTTCGAGGACATAGAATATTTAAGTTTTGAATCTCCAAGAAGGCGGTTAAACAAAATTATACTTTCTTCTTATAAAATAAACAAACTAGCGCCTAGTTTGTTTTGTGTTTCGGTGAATAAGTAATTTATGAAACTAACAATAAACTTCAAAAAATCAACTTCTTTAGACTTATTTAGATAAACTATAAAAAAAAACTATATGCTTAAGAGATGTTTGCAATGTTTGTAAATACCTACTCATATTTTTTAATTAAATTGCCCAGAAACTTTATAAATTGCACACTTTTACGCATAATCCAGAACCGGTTGTTAGCAAAAACAAATGAAATCAGCTGTGTAGACAAGATGGCTGTCAAAACGTCAAATCAAGGCAAGTGCGTTTCTTTTTACGCACATTTTTATTGACTTATGTAAAAAATGTATCAATCCCGAAAATCCCGGGACTCATTAAATTTGATCCCGAAAATTTCGGGACTAAAATATGACCGGGATCCCGGATCTCGGGACCCCGGGATCGAATCCTCTAATTGCCACCTTCGAGGTGGTACGCTCCTATTTAATATAGTGAGATTATAGAAAGTATATTGATTTAATTTACTTCGGAAATTTCGACAATTTGTTTATATAGTCCTTACTGTTCAGAAAAGGAAATAGACACGATCTTCCTCAAGGCTGAGAAATTATATATAACAAAAGAAACACTTGACTGTAAGGCAAATTATTTTTAAGTTTAATATTTCGCAAACAGATCAGTGAATCTAAAAAAAGGTCGCACACTCTCGCCAGGTTTTTGAAAGACCTATCTAAGAAAAAACAAAATACAACACCACATGTAGCTGTAATTTTAAAAGGGTAAAATTTCACATTTTAATAATGTATACTAAAAGCTCTATTTTATCTATAGGCTTTTAGTTAAACCACAAATTTACAGACAGAGAGACATTTCTAAACTATTTATTTAGGTTTCTTGTTACTACGGAACGGATAAAAACAACACTATAATATAAAACTCCTGATGACTCTATAACCGTAGACACAAATATTGATTACCCATAGACAAAATTAAAATACAAAAGAGGCTGTACACATTTCTTAGTCAAAAAATTATAGTAAAAAAATGTCACTTACTCTTTTATACCTGATGAGGTAGTCGATGAGCAAGTCTTTCTTCTTGTCTTTCTCGTCTTGTTCGCACACGCCAATGTTGAGACCCATTACGATCGTGCGTAGGAGTCCTCCTTCGAAGGCATCCCAAAGGAACTTGGGCGTGTAGCACATTATGGCCTGAGGAAAACATATTGAGGCTTAATTTAAGGCATTTGAATCATACCTAACACTTTATTAACTAAATTTTTTGTTCAGGTTTACTTATTGTTAAATTAAAAACCCCTTTAAAGCGCGTTTGAACAACAAAAAAAAGAATGTAGTTTTTGAGATGGGAAAAAACTTTAGAACGCGCGACTCTGTTAACGTTACCGACCCCTCTGTTTATAAGTATCTACATATATTGGCCCCGTTTACACGAGAGTTGAGTTTGGGTTGAAATACATTGATAATTAAACTATACATAATATTAAACATATATTGTGTATATACGTACAACATAGATACTTATTCATGTCGGAACTTTTCAAAACTAAAAAAAAAACAAGTTTTCACTTCTGCCGGCACTCCCGGAGTGCCGTTGTTTTTTTTTAATCAATAGGAGTCGAGTATTAATCTGTCATGGACTCATGGCACAAGTGTATTAAATGATAGTTCAAGCTATACCTATATGTCAATAAAATAACAGAAAACATTCTAAACGTCTATATTTGAAAACCAGGCAACCTTTATTAAATATCCTATTCTCTATTTCTTTTGTAAACACACCCATTTTGTACATAGAGCTATTTAGAAAAGGCCTGTCAATGCATACGAAAATTTGCAGCGGTTGGGAATCAACTCGCGCTCCATGAGTTTTCAAACTTAACACCCATTCTATTCTAATATAGAGTACTACTCGGTAAATTATTTAATTAACACACCTATAAAAATCGACCTTCAGTTTTTCCTTTTTAGTATTAAAATCTATTGTCTCTTTTCATTGTCATAAAAGTAACAAGGACAGTTTTAATGACTGTCATTTCCGTTTGTAAGTTTTTGTAACTTTTAAATCTATACTAATATTATAGAGCTGAAGAGTTTGTTTGTTTGTTTGTTTGAACGCGCTAATCTCAGGAACTACTGGTCGGATTTAAAAAATTCTTTCAGTGTTAGATAGCCTATTTATCAAGGCTATAGGCTATATATCATCACGCTAAGACGAATAGATCAAATGAAGAATGTTTCAAGAACGGAGAAAATTTATTACTATTGAGAGACGCAGACGCAGTTGCGCGGGTCAGCTAGTTATTTATACGAAAAAAGAAACAAAACGATTGTTTGCAATTATTAACCTGTTTTAATCTTTTATTTCAATCTCTACTAAGCGTCACATACTTGTATGATGAGTAACATCGAACATCTTACCTTGGTTATATTGCATTAACATTAAATACACAAAAAATTAGGATATCATTTTCATAACAAAAAATATTTATTGTTCATAGCAAATACTGCCTCGGTCGTGCAGTAGTAGCGTATGTGACTGCTGTTTTGGGTTCGATCCCGGGTCGGACCAATGATTGTATGGTGTGCAAATATTTGTTTCGGAGTTATGGTGTTTTTATGTATGATATGTATGTATTTAGACTGGCCTGTTGGTCTAGTGGTTAGTGACCCTGACTGCTATGTCAGAGGTCGTGGATTCGATTCCCACCCAGGACAAATAATTGTGTGATGAGCACGGTCATTTGTTCTTTGTCTGGGTGTACTTTATCTGTAATATCTATGTATTAAGAAATATATAAGTATGTTTATCAGCAGTCTGGTTACCATAGTACAGGCTCTGCCTAGTTTGGGATCAGACAGCCGTGTGTGAGATATGTGAAAATATAATTATTATTATTTACAAGAAAAAGTATATAAGTATTCTATCAGTCAATCTGACTTTTATAGTACAAGCTCTGCTTGGTTTGAGCTAGATGGCGTTGTGTGTCTGATGTACGAAAAATATATTTTATTTAATTACACTAGGAGTAATGATACACTCTGAACTCTGACAGCCAATTCTACCACCACGTCTTTGTCAAATCATTTTTTTTTTCTTAAAAGATCTACTAGCAATCGAAATTACTAGTATTCCCATTAACCCCTCCCGTTTAGCTAAATTGCTAGTGTTAGGAGTGGGTTCACGTCGGTAGTGTACTGATCAGGATTTGAACCCACGACCTCTTGATTACAATTCCAACGCCTTAACCACTAGGCTACCGCCTAATATCACATTCTCGGCTTCCTGTTACACACTTTCGTTCCTTTTCACGAACTCACTCCTACTGATAGCAAAAATCTTCAATTCTAATTTTAAATATTAAAATTTTTAAATATATAAAAATTCGTTTTGTATTCAAATTTTTGTAATTCGATATTAATTAACATATTATACAAAGTCGTTAACCTACAATCGAGGTCAATGTCTCGAGTCCTTCACCGATATGCTGTAGTCTGACAGTTGTCTGCAAATTAAGCAGTCACGATTCTCGATATGTCAATAGAATACCGGAAATAATGGTATTATTAGACTAAATAAATCTAAATCTCGTGTATCTGATGTATGACGGTTCCCACGGACGTTGGAGTTTTACATATTTTGACAAGGTTGGTTATGTATAATGTGGTTTTATTTGTTTAATGTTGAAGCAAAGAAGCTAGCATTAGGTAATACATAAGGACTAAGAGTTCGAAGATATGGACATGACCTAGTTTTAGTGTCTAGAACATTCAATAGTTCGTGTATTAAATTTAAAGAGTGGCTGAGGTTCGGTGTAGATTTTTTTTCTGTGCAGACCAATCACAAAGCCGAATGCGGTCACCGTGACGATCGAGTAGATATGGAATAAACTCACATTTGAGCCTCTGAACGCTAATTCTCGTTAAAAGTTCGATCTCAATTCAGTTCCGATCACTGAATCGATAATCTGCAAGTCTTAGTAATACTTTACTATTTTACTATGAAAATACCTTTCATGACAGTTGTGAGATCGAAAGTTGATCGGAACTGAATTGAGATCAAACTTTTATTACGAAAATTGGCATTCTGGTGACCCGTCTCTCCGTTTACCTCCTCAACCATTAGAAAAAGATCGTCACGTACAAAATAAATTGATTGTCATTCCATATCTGATAGATAGTTACTATAGGCAGTTTCTGTCAGCAACAAAGCTAATAAATAAACGTTTAAAGGACAACAGTTATGGACATATATGGTGTCAGACATCTTCATCACGACCGTGTAACGTAGGCGCCTGGTTCACATGTTATTAGAAAGTAACGGTAACAGATGGTAACTAAGGAATGCAGGTGGTTATTTTATGACACATGTTATTGACAGTTGTAGCTTTGATTGATAGACACATTATATTATAACAGAATCACTAATGCCGACAGCGAAATAATAACATATATGCTTATTCATTTATGTTTTTAATTAAACTTTACTGTTTTGTTTCCAAGTTTCTTTACTTCTAATTACTTTTAAATTATTTAATTTATTTGTATGCACACACTCTTAAACAGTTATATAACAATATATTTATAGAGATGAATATTGATATTGATTTCAACATAGACATTGTTATTTCAATATAAATATTGTTTACAACAGTTTTCGTAACTGATATAAACCTGTCATTCAAAAGATTAATTAAGTGTTTAAATAGTAAAAAACAGTATAATATGTATTTTTATTTAGGATACACATATCCAGAGAAGAAACTTGTATATATAATAAATAGTTTTAAAAAATTAGGTTTTGTATGTATGTATATACTCGTAATAGATAAAACACATTGACAAATCTTTTCTTATAAGCCAATTCTTTACTAAAATATTTATTAAAATAACGCCTGTCCATCCTAAAAATAACTGGAATAGGTTCCTTCAAGCGCAATGGCAGCCTTTTACTGTTTTAGTAATGCATAAGGTACATATCTTGTTTTACATAGTCTGTAAAACCCAAGTATATCTATAAGAATATACTTTATTTTCAGATTATAAATCCATAGTAAATAGTTAAAATTTATGTGTCTATCTATTTTTCTATTCTAATAATTATTTAATTTTATATAGTCCCGGATTGGCAATGAGCAACTGGCACAGTAAACGGAAAAATAAGTTTTATTCTAAAAAGTATTTAAAAAACAGTTTAACATAACGAACCCGGAAGGAACCAATCGGCAAACGATTACCATGAGCAATGTATTACACAAGGTTTTCTAAAATTTCAATATAGGAACAATAAAATGACTCATATACAATGGTAAGTTTTAAACATGGGTCATAAACCTGAAACCTAACCTAAACTGTGTTATCTCCTCGTATATGATTATTTATATATATATATAAATATATTCATTTTTATTAAAGGTTTACTAGCAACCGAAATTACTAGTATTACCGTTCACCCCTCCAGCTAAGCTAAATTGGTTGTGTTAGATGTGGGTTCACGTCGGCAGTGTACTGGTGAGGATTCGAACCCACGACCTCTTGATCGCAAGTCCAATGCCTTAACCACTAGGCTACCGCCGCTTATTACTTCGGGGAAGAGGGGAGTGTTGTACACCTTTTGGTAGCCCTGATATGATATGACTCCGGTCGAGGCAACCCATACGTGCCCTGGCATGACTCTCCCACGGTTACATGCATGCTTTTATATTTCTAAATACATACAGACCAAGTAATCGTGCTCATCAGACTATTACTCGTCCCGGGTTGCAAGTGAACTATCGCCCTGAGCGGATGGGAGCGCAACAACGACTTTTTTCCGACACTTTATGTTTAAAGCAGACTGTATAGCAAACTTCCACGAAAAAGCGAAAGGAAAGTTCGTTTTTTACTGTATGATATAACGTACCATAGATTCATAAACCAGACTTAACAAAGAGTTACACATAAGCAAGCCCTTTATTGCTCTCCATAACTGTCAGATTCAAACACAAGTCGTATCTAACACAATACGAGCTTCATAAATACCCCACGATATCACAGTTTAAGCAACATACCATGCGCATACGTTTACCACTCGAGATGACTGAAAAAACATGAACGCTGTGAATTTATAACACAATAGTTTTTTTTTCTAAATAACTAACCTTATAATTGGAAATTGTATTTAGTTTGCGAACAGCTGGCTATATAAGTTCGTTACAAAATGATTTTAATATTGGTCAACTTTTAATTTCAAGATACCCGCATTTTTTGAGTTGTTTTTATGGTACAGAAGTATCAAACGGGTTATCTGTATGTAAGTAACTCCCGTTGTTTAAGGACACCTGCCACTCAATAGTCACGTGAAGTGCATATGGGTATACGAACCTGGTCTCTTCAAGTTACTAGTCTCAGTCCCTATTTCCATCCGAGAGGGAATTGGAGATGGAATTATATCACTGATGGATGAGACAAAGATATTTTTATTCTTTTTATAAAATATGTTTATTAATTTATGTTATTTTTTATGAAGATCGCAGTTTCTTTACGTAACGTAACGTACTTTAAAAAAAACCTAATGTTTTTCCATTTCTAAAAAACCACAGTAAGTACAAGCTATCAGCTCTTAGGTCTACATCTTTACCGTTTAGGAACCGATTTCAATATATTTGTTTTAACTGAATTCATTGCGCTTAAACGCAATTTTTAAATTTATAATTTTCTACCTATTTTATGATAATTTATGTGCATTAAAAGTAGACTGCACGGATGGTGTAGTGGTTTAAGCGGTCACCTCGCTTCAGACCTCTTCCTACAGCTCTGAGTGTTGTGGGTTTGATCCCCACATGGGACAACACTTTGTCTGACCACAAATTATTGTTCTGAGTCTGGGCGTTCTTTGTGTCAGTTTCATGTATGTCTGTAAAGTCTATGTTTTTAAACAAAAAGAAGTCGTTTTTTGTGCCTTGAATGAAAGCATCGACATATCGACATCCAGTCGATAGTATACCCTTAGAATTATACTTATTTGCCCGTTACATGTGACAAATGATAACACTGATATTGTTGTCACATATTTTTGTATAAACACCATTAACCACTTCAACTGTCATTTTCAAGTTTACCATTACACAAGTAAGTACTTCAGTGGTTAATCCTAACAAATATTACACATAGGAATGTGAGCTTGTCTGTTACGGCTACAAGCCTGGATACTCACCTGATCATCGTGAAATTTCGGATACAAAAATTAAAATCATTTTTCTTTCATTAAACCAATTATAGTTAATATTTTTTTACATAAATATAAAATAGATCTAAGTGTCGTGCAAAAGGAGAGGCTTATGTCCAGCAGTGGACTGTGATAGATTGATGATGATGATGATGAAAGAGCAGACGGGACACCTGATGGTAAGTGACTACCGACGCCCATGAACACCAGATTCCAGCAAATTCCAGAGTCACATCAGTCCCATCCCAGTATCAGGGAAGGTTTGGTTTCCGGTAACCTGATTCACTCGGTGAAAATCAACGAAAGAATAGTTCAGCAACGGTTTTCTGAGAGACCGTACCATCACTCCGGTCAATCCGACCCATTAATGCCAAAGCATGGAGCTCCCACGCATCAGGTATTTTTCAATTGTCAGGAGTAGAAGTTTGTCAGGCTAAATCTGTCCTATAGAGACAAACTGACAAGAAACTACATCAGATACTTGTAACACACATTTTGACCCGAAGTTCCTTATCACGCGTTACACGCTCTGAGCGGATGGGAGCGTGACTGAAAAATGTGTAACAAAACTTTTTCCGACTCTATAGCCAATGTCTACCAAATAGCGAAAGGAACTTCGTTCCGACCGGGGATCCATTGACTTTATTTTTTTAAATAGGTTGCATACGAGCTATTCATCCCGTGGGTGTCGTAAAAGCCGACTAAGGGAAAAAACTACGCAGAACAACAGCACTGCAGAGAGAAGGAAAACTTGACACAAACTCTCTACCAACCCGTCTGGCCAGCGTGGTATAGTAGGCCTGAACCTCCTTTCTAAGGAGAGGCTTATGTCCAGCAGTGGACTATAAAAGGCTGTTGATGTGCAAACGAGCAGACAGGGCCTCCTGATGGAAAGTAACTAATCGGCGAACATGAATGCTTGCAGCTTAGGTGACAAAAGCGCGCCTTTGAGGTCGGAGTACGATATTTTCTTCATGGTTTAGAGGTCGTATTGGTACGGCAATACCGGGGCGAAAATTTTGTAAACAGATTGGGTGTGCGAGATAAACAGTTTCTAGAAAAGCTCACAGTGGTGGAGTGCCAATTATACGCTAAAATTAAACTAAATGTGAGAACAATGTCACACTAGGTACTAGAGACTAGTCAATATTTGAGAAGTTACTACTAGGACTAAGGACAGGAGACATCTTGCAGGAAATGTCTTGTTTTATTTTGAAATGCTTGACAAGAGCTAAACTTATGCGAGCGAAGACAAGGGAAAGGTTAGTATTGGTATGTTTTCGCTTAGATTAGCTAAGTGTAAATGTAAACAGCCTTTTGGTTTATTTGATCTTTGTTTACATATATCAGCTTGTTTATTAGACGTATGAGGTACGATGGAGGTTATACAATCTGTAGCAAAACTATCAGCAGAATATTTGATTCGGAGCCAAAATTTCAACAAAAGCTGACACAAAAAGGATTTAAGGATTAACTACTCTAAACCTGTAGTTTTGATAGCACGATTTCCAGAAAATAATTAATCATCATCATAAACAGCTTCTAACAGTCCACTGCTGGACATATGCCTCTCCTTAGAAAGGAGGTTTTCCTACTATACCACGCTGGCCAGACAGGTTGGTATTGTGGCAAACTTTCCTTCTCTTTGCATTTTCGTTGTCCTGCATAGTTTGCTCCCTTAGTCGGCTCTTACGACACCTACGGGATGAATGGGGGTGGTGACAATCCGTATTCTTAATCCGTCACCACACGGACATCAAAACAATGATTTTGACTTGAACCTGCCGTCTTTATGGAGATAATCAGAACTAATTTCTAGGACGATAAAGCTGAAGTACACAGCTACGAAAAACTAGATGGTAATATCTGACGAGCTCAATGGCGTTCTTTAGGAGTTCGTTCGTTCAACGGTGCACTACGAAAGGCTAAAAGCTTGGCTATTGCCGGAAAGTTAGAGTAACCAAACTCCTGTAGAAAGGTCATCAGGGATGTTGATGAACCCATATGTTTTAAACTGTAGTATTACAAATATCGATATTTTGTAAGGTAATTCACCTGCTCTAGTCCAAACAAAACTTTATTTAAAGGAACTATTTTTTGCTATCGTCGCTAAAACTGTAAAAACTACTTACGCAATAGGGAATAATATATATGCATTTATGCATGTATTCTTATTTTTTTAAACGTTAAAAGCTTGTACTTATTATATTACCAACAAAAATATATCACACATAATATAAACCATTAAGCTAAACAAAATTATTAAAATCACTATATTTTGGGGCGACTTACACGCGGCCATTTTGGCGTGCTTATTTTGTGACGCCAGATTACACCGAGTTCGATGTCAACAACGAAGTGTTTGATTCACAAAGTTACTGAAAGTTAAAGAAGTGAGTGATAAAATCAACATATCAGCCACTTTTTGACGGTTAAATTTCAATATTTGATTGTGATTCATTTCAAAAATAATTGTATAGGTATGCTTTTTTAGTAATAAAGATTACAAATAAAAATATTTTGTTCATTTCTTAAATTTAATAATAAATATTATTAGGTCTTTACCTATGAAATTGCCGTTTTGTATGCAATAAGTGAAAGTACTTATTTTTTCAAACTTTTTTAATTTCTGTTATTCGAAGTAATCACCCATGCAATCGACGCATCTTTGCCAACGCATTGGCAGTTTATTGATGCCCTTCTTGTAAAAATCAGCTGGACGGGAGGCAACAAACTCTTCAAAGGCATTTTGTACTGCCTCTCGGGAATTGAATTTTTTACCCACTAAAAAGTAGTCTAAATTTTGAAAAAAGTAATAGTCGGTAGATGCAAGGTCTGGTGAGAATGGCGGATGAGGGAGAGCTTCCAACCCCAGCTCTTGCAGCTTGGAGACTCTATTGCGCAGTATGGGGTCGCGCGCTGTCATGAAGGAGCAGTGGGGACGACCGATTGACCATAGCTGGTTGCTTGGTACTCACCAGACCTTGCACCAACCGACTATACCGAACCGAACCGATATGAAAAAATAAGTACTTTCACTTATTGCATACAAAACGGCAATTTCATGGGTAAAGACTTATTATTTTGTTCATTTCTTAAATTTAATAATATACATTATAATATGTAGTTTGAAATATACACCTCCCACACACATCTCTGCACCACGCAAAGGTTGGCTGAGAGAAAATGTCTACGGTATTAAGGCCGCTTTATACATTATGCAGAAAGTGTATATAAATAAATAAATATAGAAAACAATTAATTACCTGAAAGAATAACACGAAGCACACCCATTGGTAGTATGTGTAGTATTTTTTTTCTTGCGAACTGTCGAACTCATTCGCCACACCTGGATGTGCCACTTCTCTTCCAACCTGAAATAGAAATGCATATTTTAAAACACCTGGATACCTTTTATAAAATTTACTTTAAAAAAATACATATAATTTGGATATAAAAATAAAATGATTTATTATTATGTTCTTTTTTAAGGACATTACGCGCACGGAGGAATGTTAAATATGATACTTAAAATTGATATGTAGAAGTGAAAAACCGTTATTAGTGGTTTGCGACCCTGACTTCTAAGTCAGAGGTCGTGGGTTCGACTCTCACTCAGGATAAATAATTGTATGATGACCACGATCATTGTCACGTTCTTTGTCTAAGTGTAATTGATTGATAATATGTATGGGGTCTACCAATAAGAACATCCTGGTTTAAAAATTGAATAAAACACACAATTTTTTTATGAAAAATGCATCCGATTGATTTATTTGATAGATAATTTTATGCAATTTATGTTTTAAATAATATATCGGCCAAATGACCGCCGCGGCTCTTTTTGCAGACGGTCACCCGCTGACGCCAATTTTCGATGACGCGGTGCACCATTTCGGCCGGTATGTCGGCTATGGCTCGTCGAATGTTGGTTTTTAGGTCACGAATTGTAGCTGGATTATTGCTGTACACTTTAGATTTAACGTAACCCCAAAGAAAATAGTCAAGAAAGGTGTTAAATCACACGATCTTGGTGGCCAACTGATCGGTCCATTTCTCGAAATTAACGACTCACCAAACTTTCGACGCAATAATTCCATGTTCACTGGAGTAATGTGAGGTGGTGCACCGTCTCATTGAAAATAAAGGTCGTCTGCATCAATGTCATCAAATTCCGGAAAGAAATATTCGGTTAACATCGAGTTACAGCGCTCGCCATTCACAATAACATGGTTTCCTTCGTCACTTTCAAAGAAGTACGGACCAATGATTCCACCGTACCATAAACCGCACCAAACTGTTATTTTTTGCGGATGCAATGGTGATTCATGAACCACACGTGGATTTGACTCACTCCAATAGCGACAATTTTGTTTATTAACAAATCCACTGAGCCAGAAATGGGCCTCATCTGAGAAGATGATTTTACGATGAAAATCGTCATCGGCTTCCATCATTTCCAGTGCATAATCGGCAAATTCACGACGGATACAATGGTCGGATGGCTTCAATTCTTGTGCCAACCGCAAAATACGCCAGGTGGTCATTGGAGAGAGCCCCAACTCTTGTGAACGGCGTTGAACTGATCGATTTGAATTCGCATCAACACTGGCCTGAACGGCTGCGATATTCTCTTCACTACGGGTAGTTCTTTGTCTCACAGGCACAGCAGTATCGTGGAGAGTGAATTCACTTTCAAATTTTGTTATTATGCGATTTATAGCGCACAGAAGGAGCACTATGGGAAAATTTCCAAGCGTTGGTTTAAAGTGAAACGTGACATGATAAAATGGCAAACCTTACTGAACACAAATGTCAAGAGACGTCAAAGATCCATCATTTTTTTTTTTTTTTTTTTTTTTACCGTAGTATAGGCCTAGTTCAGACCTCTCCGTTACAATCGGACCGGCAACTCTGGTCCGACGAGTGTGAGGTGACGGAGGAAGAGCTGGACCGAGTCGTGCGGCGACTGGCTTCCCGCAACACTGCGCCCGGACCTGATGGTATTCCAGGTCGGGCGCTGGTGATAGCTCTGCCGGTACTGGGGGACAAACTGAGGCGGATTTTCACAGATTGTCTTAGCCTCGGTGTGTTCCCCCTCGGCTGGAAAGAAGCGAGACTGGTGCTCTTGAAAAAGGAAGGTAGAACTGCAGATTCTCCCTCTGCGTTCCGACCGATTTGCCTGCTGAACGAGTCGGGGAAACTCTTTGAGAGGGTTATCTCCGATCGTATCAGCGGGCACCTGTCGCGAGTAGGCCCTGATCTGTCGGACTGCCAGTTTGGATTCCGACGGGGGCGTTCGACAGTGGACGCTATCAGGTGCGTTCGCTCCATGTCGGAGTCGGCAGTCCGATCAGGGGGGGTGGCTTTGGCGGTTAGCCTTGATATCGTCAACGCGTTCGGCACCCTCCCCTGGCAGGCGATAAGGGCGGCCCTTGAATTTCATGAGGTGCCGCTCTATCTGCGGGCCGTCATTGGGGCCTATCTGCGCGATAGGACAGTGAAGTTTATCGGTCGGGGCGGGGTGGAAATTCGGAGACAGGTGTGTTGCGGGGTTCCCCAAGGCTCTGTTTTAGGCCCTTTGTTGTGGAACCTAGCTTACGATGTGGTCCTTCGCACCAGTCTGCCCTCTGGCCTTAGTGTTGTCTGCTATGCAGATGACACTTTAATACTGGCTAGAGGGTCACACTTCGACGAGGTGCTTCGGCTCGCCGAGCATGGGGTGGCTTGTGTCGTCGGAAAGATTCATGAGCTGGGTCTGAGGGTGGCGCCTCAGAAAACGGAGGCGATATGGTTCCATGGCCTACGTAAGCGCCAGGAACCACCCAGCTCATGCCTCCGGGTGGGTGACGCTGAAGTCCAGGTGGGCCGGTACATGAAGTACTTAGGCCTCATCCTGGACAGTCGGTGGAGCTTCGAAGAGCATTTCGTGCGATTAGTCCCCCGAGTGCGCGGGGTAGCGGGTGCACTGCATCGCCTGCTGCCCAATCTCGGGGGACCACGGGAAGAAGTTCGCCGTCTCTATATGGGGGTCGTGCGATCCATGGTCCTGTATGGGGCGCCCGTCTGGTCTAATGACTTGGCGGGTGCCTCCCGCTGCAAGGCTCTACTCAGAAGCCTGCAGCGGTTGATGGCCATACGGGTCGTACGGGGTTATCGTACCATCTCGTTTGAGGCGGCGACGGTCCTGGCTCGATATCCACCCTTCGACATTCTGGCCAACATGGACGCGATGGTCTATGACCAAGTCCGTTCTGTCGGTCGGAATGGTGAGGAGGCCGCGCCGGATCATGAGCCCGGAATGCTACGGCGGAACGCGCATACGCAGGCTTTGCGAGCGTGGCAGGCACGGCTTGTAATCCAGGGCTGTGCTAGCCAACGCGCCGTCGGAGCCGTTCTGCCGAGCTTCGAAGCGTGGGTAGGGAGGAACGACTGTGTCACCTACCGATTGACTCAGATGCTTACCGGGCACGGTTGCTTCGGTGAGTATCTGAATCGAATTGGACGGGAGGCCACGGCACAATGCCACCATTGCGGGTCCGACCGGGACTCCGCCCAGCACACGCTGGAGGACTGCCCTGCATGGGAGTCCGAACGTCGAGTCTTGGTCGGACAGATCGGACGAAACCTGTCACCGCCAGCATTAATCGCGGCAATGCTGGCGAGTGGCGAGGGATGGGCAGCCGCGGTCTCCTTCTGCGAGGACGTTATGCTCCAAAAGGAGGCCGCAGAGCGGGATCGGGAGAGGGCCGATCCCGCTCGAAGGAGGCGGCGAAGGGGACGCGGCAGAGGTCGCTAACTCCCCAATCGCCGCCTAAGGGTCGCTGCGGCCACATCTTGGGGCGATGTGACCGCTGTAAACGACCCGAGACGGATGACACTCCGGTGCGGCCGGGGGGGTGTCGTCTAAGGCGGGACGCCGTTGCGCCTTTTACTCTGTAGAGCAGTGAGAGGCGCGATAGCGTCCTGCCCCAGGGTGACTACGGTCACTCCGGGATGTGCCTCAGACATGAGGTACGGCAGGGAGGACTCCAGAAGTCGCCGATGCGTTCCTGGAGCTCCTCCGGACTGCCGAGGTAGGCCGCCGCGGGGTTTAGTGGGTAGACCGGTTCTCCGGGAGTCCCACACACGCCCTGCGTTTCCCCAACGGAGGGTATGGTGCGAAAAGCATTCCCCGCGTGAAAAAAAAAAAAAAAAAAAAAGGCCTAGTTCAGACAGCCGTGTGTAGTTTGTATATGTAGGTTATTATTATTATTTAACAAACATAAACAGAGAATAAGACCGAGAGAGATAAGCGAATCATGAGAAAACCGATAACCAGAGCCTTAAACAATCACATAAAACTAACATCAATATTTAATAGCAGTTATTGAACTAGAAACTTTTCCAGAAGCTCATGAATCCAAAAATAGGCTATAAGGAAATCATGAAATCGAAGGTAAAATTTCAAAAGTATAAATATCACATGAACTATACCGAATTAATGTAAATAATTCAAGTATCTGAATATCATACATTTATACATGTAAAATCGATAACTGTAAATAATTCGTTTGTGCAGAAACGATTGAATTCACAAAAAAATGATATACTTGTTTAGACTTTCACTATCATAATCACCAGCTTTTAGCAGTCCGCTGCTGGCCATAGGCCTCTCTATGTTACACGTATTTTCTATGTTACACTCGAGATGCCTGATATTTTAGTTGAAGGGCTTAAAATTTCCGGGAATAACGAATTTAAGTTATAGGCATGCGATCATAATCTGCTCGAGTTATTACTTACATCCCAATCCAACCCTACGAACGAAGAATCCTAACGAAGAAATCGGGCAAAGTTACGTCCATTCTTTGATACCAGATTCAGATACCATAACATTATTTACTTACATACCAATCCAACCCTACGAACGAAGAATCCTAACGAAGAAATCGGGCAAAGGCACGGCCATTCTTTGATACCAGATAGCTATAACAATAGTTAATAAATAGTCACTGTCACAGCACAGTTATGTTATGCATAGGACGCTACCGTGTATTGGAAGATGTATTGTACAAGGTCTAACCGATGCGACGCGGCGACGTTATAGAATTTAAGAAAAGACAGAACGAAGAAAATGTGGTTAATTTAGATCATAATCATAGTATATACGTAATGATAGTAAATTCGCTACAATGATACGCATAAATTGAGTAGCGAGTTAGATCTCAACACACGCGTCAAAAAAATTTTTGCGTCAAAATTTTTAAACCTAATATCAGGAGTTCAATTTTTTTAGTTCGTTTTTTTGTTTCCAAAATCTGTTATTAGGTTCTGTTATTTTTTCAAAGCTCCTTTTTAGGGTTCCTTACCCAAAGGGCAAAACGGGACCTTA